TCTCTTATTTTTATTTCTTTATCTAACCCCCCTAATTTTTTCAAAACCCCTACAGCAGCATCTTTCATATTTCCCCCCTCTACCTCTACACCCCGCATGACTACATTTAGTCTTCTATCTCTTCTTTCTTGATCATCTCTTCTTTTTTCTATTTCTTCCACTCTTTTCTTCAGATCTGCATTTTCTTCTTTCAACTTCTCCATCTTTTCCCTTTCCTCCTCCTTAAATTTCTCAAATTCTGATTTTATTTGCTTCATCTCTTCTTTTAATTCTCTTCTTATCATCTTCATCATATCATCCTTATGCCGCTGCAGTTGTCTCTCCATCATCTTTTCTATCTCCTCTAAATTCGCCATTTTCTTCTTCTCTGAATCCCCCTGCTGTTCTGGCGATTTTCCTGCCTTTCCTTCCTTCTTTCGTTTCACGACTTGCTGTTCGTCTTCACTCTCTTCCGACTCACGCGCTCTGCCCCTTCTCGAGAACCACGAGCTTGGAATGCTCACTACACTACTATCCCTCCTCTCCCTTCCTAGCAGCTCCGCTTTCGTGGGTCTTCCTCTCTTCCCCGCTCCCTTCTCTCCACTCGTATTTCGTCTCTGACGTTCACCGTCGTCGCCGTCCTTCGATCTTGTTCCCCACTCCTCCCCTGACTGTACCCACCTTTCCGCTCGGCTACTTCTAGACTCTTCCGTGGCTAGGCAGGTTCCTTCTCTCTCTTTCTCCAAACTCTCGCTCATTCCCCCTCCCGAGACGCGCTCGCGCTTCGTGACGTTCTATCCCTGCTTATTCTTCTCCGTCTCTCCCCGCTCCTCTTCCCCCCTTTTCTTCCGTCACTTCCTGCCACGTGTTTTTCTGCCACGTGCGCCGAGCCTAATTACTTTTTACCTTCCGACTTATGCAAAGGCTCACCCAATGCACTCCTGTCACCTTTTGTCCACTCCTTCTCTTATGCACCCAATACAGGCTTTCAGGCCACCTGTATCACAACGTTCTCGGTTGTAGCTATGACAGTTGTAGGTTAGGTTTCCCTTGGACCGTCTTCTTTTTCTACAATTAGCCCGCTTCCTGATGGAACGAGCTACTTTTTGCCTAGCTCTCGGTTTAACGACTCTCGTCCCTACAACAAAAAACTCCCCGCAGGGCAATTCCTCTACAGCTACGAAAACTTTAAATTTCCTCACGAAGTGCGCAGAATATGTCTTCTCTGTAACTCACCTCGACCGGAAGTCTATTTGCTGTTTAGTAGAATTGACCATTTATGGTTGACACCGATTTGGCTTAATCGGTGAAATCGGCCCTTTGTATATAATATTAAGTATCAAACCCAATTAATAGTAATTTTAATAGTAGTTTTAATTTTTTTTCAAAGACTCTTATTGAAGATCTTCTTATTCCAATTCAAGTAATGGCAATTTTAATTCTCTGTCAAAAATTATTACTCTTCGAAAAAAATTAATATATCAAATAAAAAATTAAAACTCAGATGCTACAATCTTAACCAATGAAGTTAAATTCTATTAAATTAAAAAATAAAACACAAATGATACTGCCTCTTGTTATTTATTTAACTCTAATAATATGTATCATCCGTATAAAAGATTTAATATCAACAATTGACGCCAAGTTAATTTTATGTGATTCGGATATCAAATTATATAAATAATATTAACTTTAATGATATTCCTATAAAAGATTTGATATTAAGAACTGGCGCAAAGTTAAATCTTATTTCTTTATACCATGCCAAAAATAAATAATGAATAAAAAGAAAATTGAATAAAATATTTGAAAAAAAATAAATAAAGAAGAAAATAAATTATAATATATAAATATGAAGAAAATAAATTTAATAAAGATGAATAAAGAAAAAATTAAATAAATAATAAATATTAATCTAATATGTATCATTTGTATAAAAGAATTGATAACAACGGAGGCGCCAAGTTAAATTCTACTATCAAAATCAAAAGTAAAACCTAAGTGATACTATCTTTATTACTATTTACTTAATCCAAATGGTACTATCTTTAATTTTTATGAAATAAAACTTAATTATACGTATATCTTATTGAAGGATCTTTCTATTCCAATTTAAATACGTACCATAAGGAATAAAAAATCTTCTTGGAGTAACGCTAATGTAAGCGTTATTTTTTAAAAAATGGTAAGAACAAAAATTCCTATCAAAAAAACATCACATAATAATGTAAGAGATATGTTGTACACGAAAGTGTTTTTTAATTTTAGGCATTTGTATTACATTTTTCAAGAAAAATTTTTTTATTTTATAGAGCGTCAAAAGTACGTCATTTTAGGAAGCAAAATATTGTTTTCTTATTCAGGATACAAAACTGAGAAGATTTTTTATTCCGTGCACGTCAAAGTTGAAGTTTTTTTTCAATTTTAAAAGATCGACTTTAAATTAACATTGTTTGTAATAAAACTTTTACAAAGAAATATGATTCGAAAGTTATGGCTTTAAGCTTTAAAACGGTTATTTCAAACGATTTAATAATTAATTTGTAATAATTTTACGCAAAGATATATATACCTTGATTTTGACCTTTTTAATGCTAATTCTACATGATCCTTTAACTTCAAAATAGAATAACTTTGTCAAAAATGATCGTAATGAGATTTTTAAAAAAATATTTTAAAGGTTAAACTTTTTATTTTTGAAATCGGTAATTTTAATCTGACTGATCTTTTACGGAGCTATAGGAAGGCAAATGGATACCTGTCAAATGTGAAAATTGTGTACAAATTTTATAAAAGTCTATGGCGTGAAATAAGGTTTACACAAAAATGCGTTTATGGCAGTCTAAAGAATGAATCTTTTCCTTTAATTTTCTTTTTTATTGAGTGCTGTACGATTTTTTTTCATCGAGTTGAACGTTGAAGCAAAAATGGTTATTTTTACTTCAATGTTTAATAATTCGGCACTTAATAAAAAAAAATTAAAGGAAAAGACTCATTCTTAAGCTGCCGTAAATCGCATTTTTGTGTGAATTTTACTTTACGACATAGATCTCTGTAAAGTTTTTAAAAATGTTTCAGATTTGACGAGTATCTATTTGTATCTGTATCTCCATAAAGAATCAGTCAGATTGAAATATTAATTATCGATTTTGAAAGTAGATATTTCAAGCTTTCAAATAATTTTTTGATTTTTTGTCTGCAATAATTTTTCACTGAGTTATGGTGTTCTGAATATTACGCAATTTTGAGCGTGTTCTAAAGTGTCCCCTATTTTTTGTCGAGTGTATAAATAGTATAAATAAATGATATATAATACGAGGGTGGTCCCAGAAGTACCCGACCTGACGTATAGATGGCGGTTGTTGTATAAAAAAAAATCACTGTAGGGGAAAGCACCAACTTTCTAAAGCTTAACTATGAAGTTTGAAGACTCTACGTTATTCAGTATTTGTTTGGCAGCCATCAATAGTGGACGATCTCGGTGAATTTGCAAAGATGGAAAAAATTGATCATCGTTATGTGATACAATACTTTCATTTGAAAGGTCTTAGTCCAACCAATATCAAAGCCGAGCTGGATTCTACTCTGGAGGAGTCTGCTCCTTCGTTTACAACAGTAAAATATTGGGTGGCAGAGTTTAAACGAGGCCATACGAGTTGCGAAGACGAACATCGCAGTGGTCGACCAAGTGAGGCCATTCCAGAAATGGTGAAGAAAATCCACAAAATGGTATTGGGTGACCGTCAATTGAAAGTGCGCGAGCTAGCAGATATGATAAACATTTCAAAAAGTGCTGTACATCGCATATTGGCTGAAAATTTGGAGATGAGAAAGCTGTGCGCAAGGTGGGTGCCGCGCTTGCTCACAGTCGAACAAAAGCAGCGCCGAGAGGATGTTCCAATCGAATGTTTGGCGATGATTCGCAGCAACAAAGCCGAATTTTTGCGCCGATTCATAACCATGGATGAAACATGGGTCCACCACTTCACACCTGAAACGAAGGAACAATCGAAGCAATGGACTGAAAAGGGGGAATTGGCTTCGAAGAAAGCAAAAACAGTTCTATCGGCAGGCAAGGTCATGGCGTCAGTTTTCTGGGATGCGCGTGGCATAATTTTCATTGATTATCTTCAGAAAGGAAGAACAATCAATGGCGAGTATTATGCGAACTTATTGCAGCGTTTGGGTGATGAAATCAAGGAAAAACGGCCACATTTGGCAAAAAAGAAAGTGTTGTTTCATCAAAACAATGCACCAGTTCACACATCCATTATCGCGATGGCCAAAATCAATGAGTTAAAGTTCGAATTGCTTCCCCACGCACTCTATTCGCCAGATTTAGCCCCCTCGGATTATTTTCTCTTTCCAAACTTGAAAAAATTACTCGATGGTAGAAGATTTACCAAAAATGAAGAGGTGGAGTCTGCAGTTAATGGCTATTTTGAGGAGTTCAACGGTTCTTACTATAAACAGGCCATCGCAGCTATTGAACATCGCTGGGAAAAGTGTATCGAGCTAAAAGGAGACTGTGTGTTGAGAAATAAAGATATTTTTTCCCAAATTTTTTGTGTTTTCTTTGTTAGGTCGGGTATTTCTGGGACCATCCTCGTACATAACAGATATATATTTTATATTGGAAACAAGACCGTCTATAAAAATATTAAAACTTTAAATACAAAGCGCCTTCCCGGTCCGAGTGTTTTAAAATGTTGAACTACTATCTAATATACATTAAATTAAATTGAATTAATATTTCAGAAATAAATTGAGATAAATTTGGGGGGATTATTTGTTTCAGATTGATTGTGTGAATCCGATAATTTCATCGGCTCTCAATTTATTTCTGAAATATTAATTCAATTTAATTTAATGTATATTAGATAGTAGTTCAACATCTTAACACTCGGACCGGGAAGGCGCTTTGTATTTAAAGTTTTAATATATATATATAAAATATACAATATATACATGGATGGTTTCCAGTAACATACATAGGCAACACTGAGTAATATATGATTTAAACTTAGAGGAATTTCCAAAAGATACCAATAACTAATGTGTGACACATATCTTAAATGTATGAATACTTTTCATACATTCAAGAATATATGCGTATATCGACCTATTATATATAAAAGAGAGAATCTTTAGTTATCTTAAAGATACAGCAGACACTCAGATTTTGTGAGTTCAAAGCTCCATATCTTTTGACTTTTTCATTTTCTGTGGATATGACAAAGAAAACATTTATTCAATCATAAAAACTACAACGTATCTCAAAATGGAGCAGTTTATAAACTTGTTTCATATGTTAGATTGTTTTTTTACACAATCGTACTTACACCTTATTTATTTTATGAAAACAGTTTTAGGCTACTTCATAAAAATACTTTTCACATTTATTAAGAAATTTACATTCACGAGAAAAAGGATAAAGAAGAACATTATAAAAAAGACACACTATTATCACCCGACATTTAACAATTAAATACCATACATTAAAAATTGCACTTTAATGTACTAACGGAAGATTTAACGTGAACTTGACGGATATTAACTTTCTTTTTCTGGTGCATAAGAAAAGGTCGCGATATTAATAAATTCTATGATATAGTCGTGTTATTATGTAGAGTTCTGCATAATCAATGTGAACGATAATATGGTTTCGTAATCCATTGCGTTACAAACGCTACATCCTGACATTATATAATTCTGGATCGAGAGAATGCGCGGGGTCTTCGCAAAATATAAAATTGATCAGCTGATTTACGTCTTTGATACATATTCGCATTTTTCAGTCATAAATTTAATTCTTTAGAGAAAACATGTACTTGCAGATAATGCGTTGCATTGCCATCCTTACTCCTCTGGATGTACAAAACGTTTCGTTTTGATCTTTGTAATGTATCTTTCTATTGTAGTATTTTTGTCATTCAATATCGCACCTTATCTCCGGCATGTTTTAACCAGTTTTTTATGTATTTGATTATCGATAATGGTGCAATCTTTGCCTTTAATATAATATGACTCACAATCCCTATATAT